GTCAGTGGTGTCAGCACCGGTCAGTGGTGTCAGCACTGGTCAGTGGTGCCAGCACTGGCACTGGTTGGCACCGGTCAGTGGTGGCACCGCTCAGGGCCAGGCACTGGTCAGTGGTGGCACCGCCCAGCAGGGAAAAACCACGTGCAAAGAAAACCCTCGGGTGAGGATAAAACCCATGAGTGAGGATAAAACCCACAGTGGAGGATAAAACCCACGGTGGAGGATAAAACCCTTGGGTGAGGATAAAACCCACAGTGAGGATAAAACCCACGGTAAGGATAAAACCCACGTTCAAGGTGCACTTGCAGAGGTGCCTGTGCCAGACGAGCCGCACGTGCCCAACCCAGCAGTGCCACCCTGATGCCGTCTCCCGCCCATTCCCATGTGTCCCCGGTGTGCCCGTGGGGTGTCCCCGTGCCCCCCCGTGCCCCCTCACACCCCCAGCCCCTCACCTGGGTGCCCATACAGAAGTTGAGCTGCTTCTGCAGCGACTCCGCCTGCGCCGCCGCCTCCCTCCTCTTGTCCTCCAGCTCCTTGGCCTGCCGCTCCTTGTCCTCCTGCAGCCTCTTCCTCTCCTCCTGCCCGTCCCTCACCTGCTTCTCCACGGCCTGGAGGCGCTGCCGGAGCTCCTGCAGCTGCCTGCTGGAGCCGAGGCGACACTGCTCCACGCTCACCTCGCAGGTGCTCCTCCTGACGTACATGGTGTCCCGGTCCTGCTGCCAGCGGAACAGCCCCTCGGCGTCCTCCCGGAGCTGCTGCAGCTTGTTCTCGGCCTCGCTGCAGCGGTACTGCTTCACCAGGCCCGCCACCCGCTGCAGGTTCTCGTTGATGTCGTTCTTCAGGGTCCTGCTCTCGTGTCTCAGCAGCTCCAGCTCGGTTTTGGTGAAGTCCCAGCTGGTCCTGTTGGTCCTCAGGTCCTCCTGGCACCTCTCGTGCTCCTGGCTGGTTTTGGCCAGCGTGGTTTGCGTTTTCTGGTAGTTTTCCTGCAGCTCCTTCTTGGACAAGGTGATCTGGTCCAGCTGCCTCTGCAGCTGCAGCTTGTCGGCTGCGCGGGGAGCGGGGACGGGGTGGGTGTCCCCCAGTGCCACCCCCTGTCCCAGCGTGACACCCCTGCCTGCAGCAGGGATGGGGAAGGGCTTCCCCTGCCCGGGTCCCTGGGGGGTGCTGGGGGTCCCCAGGAGGGTGGGAAGGCGATACCTGGGATTTGGGGACGGGGGTCTCTCTTACCGTTGCACGAGGTGTTGATGAGGCTGGTGGTAATTTGGCACTCGGCCAACTTCATCTTGATGTACATGAACTCCTGCAGCTGAGGGGGGGGAGGAAGAGGAGGAAGAGGAGGGTCAGAGCATCCTGCAAGGACCCCCCCCACACACACCCCGGCATCAGCTCGTGGGCACTGGGAGAGCACCGGGGGCTGGGGAGGAGGAAGAGGAGGAAAAGGATGGGAGGGGGGTCAGAGCATCCCACAAAGACATCCCTGAGGTATCACCTCATCCCTCTGGACACTGGTGAGAGCATCGGGGACGGGACAGGGACAGGGACAGGGACAGGGACAGGGACAGGGACAGGGAGAGGAGGGGGGGTCAGAGCATCAGGGACCCCCTGGCAGCACATCGTGGGCGCTGTGAGAGCACCGGAGGCTTAAGAGGATGACGATGATGACAATGAGGAGGAGGAGGAGGAGGGGGACTGTGGGATTGGAACCCCCGTGGCCAACCCCTCTCCAGGACACCGGGGCTGAGACCCCCGGGGCTGGGCGGGGGGGGCACATCAGCATCCCCACCCGGCTCTGCCCCCGGCCCCTCTCCCCCAGTCCTGTCACGACGAGGTCCCAGCACCCACGGGCGCATCCCCCTGCCCTGCCCTCACCTGGGGGAGGTTGTTGGTGCTCTGGGTGCTGTTACACTTGTCCAGCTCCCGCTGGACCTTGGAGACGAGGCCCTGCAGCTTGTCCTTGTCCTTGAGGGTGGCGTTGAGGGCGCGGGTGAGGTTCATGTTCCTGGTGCCCAGGGTGATGATCTTGTTGTAGCGGTCCTGCAGCTGCTCCTCCAGCAGCCGGAGGTGGGTGTCGGTGCCCGCCTGCGCGTTCCCGTACACCATGAACAGCACCAGCCCCAGGATGATGAGGAACTGGATGAGGGAGGTGAAGAGGAAGATGTACTTCATGTAAAACCCGCAGTCCCGCTTGGCCATCGGCTCCTTGGCCTCCAGACCGAACTTGGCCATGGCGAAGCTGCCCTTCTCCATCCCGCCGGCGCTGTGAGAGCCCCACCCCGCGGGACCCCCTTTGAGCGGGGCCGGCCGGGGGGCGGGGCCGGCCCCGACGCCGTGTTTATATCCCTGGATTTAATGTTTCCTTCTGCTGGGCTCCTTCCTGCCGTGCCGGATGCCTCGGACCCGCCGGGTTATCACGGTGCAGCTTCTGTTGGCGGCGGGACTATTGTTCCTGGATGGGGGGGGGAAGGCTGGGACCCTCCTCCCCCTGCCCCGTGCTGGTGCCCGGCGCTCTCCCAGGAGTGTCTCCCATCCCAAAATAACCCCCTAACACTGAGAATTCCGGGGAATGAGCCCCCGGGGCCAGGCAGGGTGGGCTGTGTCCGCTGGTGGGGTGATGGAGGGGATCCCACTGTCTGCACCGGGCACCCCAGGGTGGTCCTGGCACCCCACCCTGGCGGTGGGACGGTGGCACGTGTGTGCCCACCGGGTGGGTGGCACTCAGGGGTGATGCTCCACGTCCCTTGCGGGGATGGGGAAGGGTGTGGTCAGGTCCTGGCTGGCGGGTGGGGTGGCACCAGGCTCGGTGGGTGATGTGGGGCCATGGGGTGAGCCCCGAGCTCGGGGACGGGCTGGGGACATGGAGGGGGCTCAGTGCAGGGACAAGGGGTGACATCAGGTGCGGGCAGCACCACGGGGTGGCTGGGGAGGGACAGGGGATGCTGCCCCTTTGCCCCTCATGGCCAGTGACCACAGACACGCTCTGGGGGTGTCCGGGTCCTGACCACGGCCATTGTCACCCTGTCCCCGCCCCGTGGGAGCCCTGGGCTGCAGGCCCAGCTCCCCCAGCTCTGGGGGTGCCAGACCCCCCCCCCGGCCATTGTCATCCCGTCCCCATCCCGCGGGAGCTGCCGTGGAGGGTCCGGCTGTGCCCGGGACCCCCCCCATCCCCGCAGGATGCCCAGCCCGGGCCGGGGGGGCTGCGGGGGGGCCGAGGTGTGGGGCCCCGCCGGGCGCTGACCCCGAGCCGTTGGCTGTTTCCTGCCCTCTGGCTGCGCCGCGTTCCCTGGGGACCGGGAAGTGTCTGCGATGGCCGGGATGGTGTCGCTCCCGAATCCATTCTCAGCTACTGCCGTTTCCTTCCTGAGCCGCAAATAACGCTGAGTCACCCCCGGGCCCCCCCGGCCCCCCCGGCCCTGCCATGGGGACACTGCCGGACCCCCATCCCCGCCTGGCAGGGACCCCTCAGGCCCGTGGCTCTGCCCTTGGGATGCTCCCTCTGAGAGCCCATTCCCATTCCCTGCAGCCTCCCGGGGTCACCAGGGATCCCGATGGGGATCTGGCCCCCCCAGACCCCACCTCTGTCCCAATCCCCCAATTAAGCCCCCAATTAGCCCCCCACTGTAATTAGTTCTTCCCATGCCGATGGTTGGACCATGGGAATGTTGTTCCCAATTCCCCTTCCCATCTTAAATCTCTGCTGGGCCGGGGGGGCTCCGCTCCGGGACCACTGGATTTGGGGTGTGGGAATGGGGTTTGTCCCCCCACCCCATCCCAGAGAACCCCATCCTGGCTGGAAGTGCCTCACCAGGACACTTTCACCTGGGAAGTCCCTGCCAGCCCCTTCTCCATCCCCTCCCGAGTTGGGGCAGTGGGGGCACGGGGGGGTCCCCCCACGGGCAGTGGGGAGGGCAGGGCAGATCCTGCCTGCCCTTTGCACAGGATACTGCGGCAGGAAAATCCAGCTTTCCTGGAAACCTTCAAAGTGGATCTGAGGGTGCTGGGAAGTGAGAGCAAAGCAGCAGCAGCAGCTCCTGGTCCTTGTCCTCCCGCCCCTGCCTTGGCTCAGTGTCCCCCCAAGCACCCCGGGGAGTTTTGGGGTCCCTGGCAGAGCCGGGTCCTGCCCTGGGCAGGTGGTGGGAGAGGCTGGAGAAAACCCTGGAGTGAGAAGTCCCCTTTGGGGGGGACGGTTGGGTTTGGGGACACACGGTTGGATTTGGGGGGCCAACTGGGCTTGGGGGGGCCAGTTGGGCTCTTGGGAAGAGGGGGACAGCGGGGCTGGTGGCACAGGGAGACATCCTGGAGAGCAGCACAGCCTTTATTGCCCAAACACCTTCCCAGTGGTCCCAGTTTCTGGAGTGTTAACGCCCAGAGCTGATCCCAGAGCAGCTCCGAGCAGCCAGGGGGGAAACTGTCCCCGGGATGAGCTCAAACTGCCCGAGGGCTGGAGAAGGGACCCCTCTGTCCTGCTGCCAGGCTGCTGAGCTGGGACTGGGACACGGCAGGGTCGGGACACGCGGCGGCATCGGGACAGGAGACAGGATCGAGACACGGTGGGAGCAGGACACAGCAGGATTGGGATACACGATGGAACTGGGACATGGTGGGATCGGGACACAGCAGGATTGGGATACACGATGGAATTGGGACATGGTGGGATTGGGACACAGCAGGATTGGGATACACGATGGAATTGGGACATGATGGGATTGGGACACAGCAGGATTGGGATACACGATGGAATTGGGACATGGTGGGATTGGGACACAGCAGGATTGGGATACACGATGGAATTGGGACACGCAGTAGGATCAGAACACATGGTGGGATCAGGACACACGGCAGGATTGGGACACAGTGGGATTGGGACACATGGTGGGATCAGGACTCACGGTGGGATTGGGACACGTGTCCCACCAGCACCATTCCAGCATCCCCAGCTCCGGAGCCGGGGCTGAGCCCCTCCCGGCCCCACAGTGGTGGGACTGGGAATGCTGGGCTTAGTGGGGAGGGGCCCGGGGGGCTGCGGGGCTTCAACCTTTCCTGCAAAAGAGGAGGGACAGGGAGTGAGTCCCCACACGGCACCGGGTGCCGCTCCCCGGGGGACACCGGTGGCAATGGCACATGTGGCTGTGCCAGTGAAACCCCCCAGCCCCGGGCTGTGCCCCCTCCCCGAACTGTGTCCCCTCCCTGGGCTGTGTCCCCTCCCTGATCTGTGTCCCCTCCCGGGCTGTGCCCCCTCCCCGGGCTGTGCTCCCTCCCCGGGCTGTGCCCCCTCCCCGGATGTCCTCCCTCCCCGGGCTGTCCCCCCTGCCCGGGTTGTCCCCTCTACCCTCCCCGTGTCCCCACAGCGGTACCGGGACGGGGGGCACCTTCTCCCGGTCGGTCGGTCCCTCCCGCGCCGCCGCAGCGCCTCGAGCTCCGCCGCGTAATCCCGTCTGCGGGGAGAGCGGAGCCGCGTGTGGGGGTCCCCCTGTGCCGGGGTGGGGGGCCGGGGGTCCCCACGGGGAGGGAGGGACAGGGCAGGGTGTCACAGGGGCTGGGTGGGGGGTGGCTGGTTTTGGGGGGGGGTGGATTCTCTGGGGGTGCCCGCGCCGTGGAGGGGGACAAGGACCTACAGGGTGTCCTGGAGCTCTCTCTGGCGGCCCTCGCAGCGCTCCCCGCGCTCCCGCAGCGCCCGCTGCTGCTCCAGCGCCTCCTCCAGCCGCCGCCGCAGCCCCCGCGCCAGCTCCGCGCCCCGCGCCACCTCCTCTGGGGGACAGCGGCGACAGCGGGGTCACCCCAAGCCCCGACACCCCAAAATCACAGTGCCCTCCCCCGTCGGGCATCGCCCCAAACCCGGCTGGGGGGGCCCCGGGTGGGCTCCTCGTGCGGGGTGACGGAGGACAGAGCTCACCTTGCAGGGCCGCCTTGTCCCCGGCCAGCTCCGCCCGCTCGCGCCGCAGGGCCACCACCTCGTCCCCCAGCGCGGTGACATTGGCCTCCAGCCTGGCCTGGGGGCAGGGGACACGTGGGGACGGCGCTGGGCAGTGTCCCCCCAGCTCTTTGCCCTCCTCCTCCTCCTCACTGACACCCCCTGTCCCCAGGCTGTCCCCAGGCTCCTGCTGGCCTCGGGGCCCATCTTATTCCTCCAAGGGGTAGGGACATGTATTTCATGGATCTGGGGGAAATCCCTCTTCCCTGAAGGGATGGCCCAGGCTGAGTGTGGGGAGGGTGCAGGAGCCCCAGGGCTGTCACAGACCCTCAGGTCACCCATGTCCCCAAGCTGCTCCAGGTGACCTTACATCCCCCTGTCCCCTTCCTCGAAGGGCCGAGGACATGGATTTGGGGAAAACCCCTCTTCCCCAGAGGGATGCTCAGCCTGGCGAGGCTGTGGGTTGTCACAGGAGCCCCAGGTCACCCGAGTGTGCCACGGGTGCCGTCCCTGGTGCCAGGGGGGGGACGTGGCTACCCAGGAGCCAGCACAGCCCTGCCCCGCTCCCGGCGCCAGCCCTGGGAAGCAGCAGCATTTTTCCAGCCTCTCAGGGCCATTGTTCAGCCGGATGAGCCCGAGAGGGGCGGCGGGACCCGGCTCTTCCTCCGGGCTGCGGCCGCGGCGCTGGGGCCGGGCCCTTTCCCAGCTGGAGCCACAGCTAAAAATACCTGGGAGGGGAGAACTGGGAGCCCAACGCCCGCTCCGGCCTCCGCTGCTGCTTCGGGATGGGGTAATTACACGTGTGGAGCAGCCTGGGCACGGCCAGGAATAGCCGGGAAGAGCTGACCCCGGCGGGGGGGCGGCAGGACGGAGCCACACCAGGGCACCGGGGGCACCCAGGGCTCCCTTTCTGGGGGGTCCGTGCAGGAACGTGCCCGTGCACCCCCAGCTCGTCATCCCAGTCACCCGCAGCATCCTTCCTGGGGCTGCTGGAGCTTCCCACGAGCCCGGCCGGAATTCCCCCAGGGATGAAGCATCACCCTGATCCAGCTGGGTGGGGGCTCCCCATGAGGAGGGAGGGGACAGGGCAGGGTGGTGGAGGGACAAGGGGTGTTACCCCCGTCCCCGTCCCGCGAGTCAAAGGTCCCCCAGACTCCCCCCTTGTCCCCATCCCTCCCCCCCAACCCCGGCACCTACCGCCCGCTCCCGGCAGTTCGCCAGGCTGGCATTGCCCTTCCTGCCGTCCCCGCGCGCCCGGGCCAGCTCCCTGCGCAGCGCCCGCTCCTCCCGCTCCAGCCGCGCTCGCTCCCGCTCCAGCTCCACCACGCGCTCCCCCAGCTCCCGGCTCTCGTTGGCCGCCCGCTCCCGGCACCCCCGCAGCTTGCCCACGGCCTCGGAGCGCCACACCATCACCGCCACCGCCACCGTCACCGCCGCCACCAGCACCAGCAGCGCCGCGCACAGCGCCAGCACCTTCAGCGTGGCCCTGGGCACCGCGGGGTCCATGCCCGGGGGGGACGCGGGGCCGCTCCGGCGGCGCCTGCCCGGGGCTGTGCCGGTGCCGCTCCCCGCGGGGCCGTAATTGCCGCGCGTGGGTTTTTTTTTTCCCACCGAACGCCGCCTCGGGCTGCGGTTTGGTCGCAGGTCACGGCCCAGAATAGACTCTGTTTGTGCTGGAAGAGGGGACGAGGCTCCGTCCCAGCTGCAGGGACGAGCTGGGACGTGCCCGGGGGGCCGGTGGGACGCCGAGGTTCCCGTCTGCCCCCGCCGGGTCGGGCTCTGGATCCCCGAGAAACGCAGCAGCAACAAAACGCTGGATTTGCACAGGTTTTATTGGAAGGCGGTTAAAAAGTGCTAAACTGTGGAGTAACCGTGGATCCTCGGCTCAGGGCAGGTCTCTGTCCCCTCCAGCCCGTGTCCCGTCCCCTCCCTCGCCCTGGGAGCAGCCCCCGGTGGCTGGACAGGAATCATCACCCCGGGATGTCCCCACGGGGGATTTGGCCAGAGCCGGTGGTGCCAGGGCAGGGCTGAGCAGGGGACAGGGCTGAGCAGGGGACAGGGCTGAGCAGGGGACAGGGCTGAGCAGGGGATGGGGCTGAGGGGGCTCCCTGAGCCCACTCCCACCCCCAGACCCCACCAGGCTGCCTGGGGACGGTCCCTCCTCCCCCCACACCAGGGGACAGGGAATCACCAGGCCCCTGTTCCCGCTGCTCCGGGTCACTTTCGGAGGAGTAACCCAAGGAGGAGGAGGAAAAAGAGGAAAGGCAGGAGGCCAGAGGGCTTGTCCCCGTTCCCAGAGGTCTGCTGGCTCCTCGTGTCCTGGAGCTGCTCCTGCAGGGCCTGGTTCTGCTGCTGGAGCTCCTCCCTGTCGGGGATGGGGACAGTGGGTGGCAGAGCAGGGGGCTGGGGGGGGTGAGGGGGGCGGGGGGCTCACCTGCGGCTCTGCTCCTGCTCCAGCTGCTCCTGCTGCCGGGAAACCTCCGTCCTGAGCTCCTTGTTCTCCTCTGAGGGGAGGGGACAGCAGGGGGGTCAGGGCACAGGGGGCAGGGTGGCCCAGGGGATGGGGAGCAGGATGGCACCGGGGACTGTGACCAGGGTGACCTGGGGGTGAGGATTGGGGTGTCCTGGGGGATGGGGATGAGGGTAGGCCAGAGGGTGTGGATCAGTGTCCCAGGGCATGAAGGTGACCCAGGAATGGGGACCAGGGGGCCCCAGGGCACAAGGGATCAGGCTGTACCAGGGCACAAGGGATCAGGCTGTACCAGGGGACAAGGACCAGGACACGGGGGTCAGGGTGTCCCAGGGGCTGCTGCTGCCCCCTCCCCACGCAGGACTCACCCTCCAGCCGGGTCACTTCAGCCAGCGCCTGCTTCAGCTCCGAGGCTTTCCCCTCCAGCACTCCCTGAGCAGGGGCAGAGGGAACGGCTGGAGAGCCCGGCTCAGGATCCCCCCTCACCAGCCAGTTCGGGGGTCCCGGGTCACCCTCACCCCCCACCGGCACCCCAACACCCACCAGCTCCTCCCTGCAGCCGTCCCGCTGCTCGCGGGCCTCCACGAGGGACCGATTGGTGACATCCAGCTCCTCCTCCAGCCGTGCCAGCCCCTCCGAGGCACCCCCGGCCCCCGCGCAGCCCCCGGCCGAGCGGCACAGCACGGTGGGCACCGTCACCGCCACCACCACCACGGCCACCCCCAGGGCCGCGGCCGCCACCGCCTTCCAGGGGCGCCGGGCCGGGGGCGGGGGGTGCGGCCGGGAGATCTCCATCCTGCCCCGTCCCGGAGCCGCCAAGGGAGACCTTGAGCTTTACCCCAAAATCGAGCGGTTTCGGTTTCCCCACCAGCGGGACTTTTTCCAGGAAATCACGTGCTTCCCGACCCCGCCGCACCGCGAGGGGTGACCCCGGGCTGGTTCTGCGGCACCGGGGCTGCTCCGGGCACCGGGGGGACCCCAAATCCGTGTCCCGGGAAGGGGGGCACGGCTGGGGGGGGTGTGGGTGCCGGTGCCACCCCACGGAGCTGCCGGGAGGGGATGACATGCCCCGCAGAGCAGGGTATCCCTTGGGGTGGGCGGGAAGGGGGACTGGGGGGTGTAAATAGGGGGGATGGGGTTTGGGGGATTAGGGGCGCGGGGCACTCAGGGAAAGGGGTGCCTGAGTTGTGGGGGATTAGGGGTACACGGGGTATGGGGGATTGGAGGGATGGGGTAATAGGGGGTATGGGCTACCTGGGATGGGGGGGATTAGGGGTACAGGGTACTCGGGGTATGGGATGTCTGGGGTATGGGGGGGTACCTGGAGTCTGGGGTGTCTGGGATAGGAGGAATAGGGGGCACGGGGTACCTGGGATAGGTATTGGGATATGGGGCAGTGAGGGTCCGGGGTACTTGGGGTGTGGGGCACCTGGAATGTGGGGTGTTTGGATTATGGAGAATTAGGGGTATGGGGTACCTGGAGTTTGGGGTGCCTGGGATATGGGGGATTAGGGGTACAGGGCACTTGGGATGTGGGGTACATGGAGTGTGAGGGATTAGGGATATGGGGCACCCAGAGAATGGGGGGTCTCGGGTACAGGGGATTAGGGGCAGAGGGTACCCGGGGTATGAGGGATTGGGGTGCTCAGGATATGGGACATCTGGGTCCAGAGGAATTGGGGTATAGAGATGGGATACCTGGGGGAGAAACCAGCTGGGATTTGGGGGTGCCTGGGCTGGGGGTCACCTCGGGTGTGGCCTGAGCGGGGTGACACAGATCCCAGAGCGCGGGCACGGGGCCCTGGCACGGGCAGCCCCATCCCGGGGATGCTCCGGGCTCATCCCGGCGCTCCGAGCCAGCGGCCACCTCCTCACCTTCCCCCCCCTCCCGGCGGCTCCCGAAATAGCTGCTCCACTTTTAGCAGTTTTTATTCTCCTGCTTCATGTGATAGAAAAAAGCGATGCCTGCGAAATGAGAAACACACCAAATATTTACCAAACTTCCAGGGTTTTTTTTCTTTTTTTTTTTTTTTTTTTTTTTTTTTTTTTTTTTTCATTCTTCTTTTCTCTTTTTTTGAGGCGGATTTTCGACATCTGGGGAATGAAAAGGCTCTGGCAGGTTCGGTGAACTGTCAGCGAAAAGGCTTTAAAGATGTTGTTATTATTATTTATGGGCTGGAGCCCGAGGGAGGAACCGGGGCCAAAGGGTTCAAAAATAGCTTAAAAAGCTGGGAAGGGATGTTTTTTCCAGAGCCGGCTCGTTTCGAATGGCAATATTGAGGTGCAAAGGGTTCGAAAAATATATTGAAAAACCAACTGGGAGAGGAATGTGCAGCAGCAAGGGCTGTCCCGCAGCCGGCGCACTGGAGCGCGGTCGTTCCCGTGGCATCGGGATCGCTTCGGAAAACAAGTGTTAGCGCTCCGGGCAGCCCCTCTCCTGCTTCCCGCCGCTCCCCCCGCCCAGATCCCCGCTCCTGCCGGCCCCTTTCCCGGGGGACACGCGGTGATTCCCCCCGGCGGCCCCGCTCCGGGAGCGGTTTGGGGTCCCGCGTTCCCCCTCTGTCCGTGTTTGGGGCCGGTGTTTTTTCCTGCTCCGGCAGGTTGTCCAGAGGGAATGCCGGGAGCGGAGCAGCGCCTCTTGGCCAGACGGCCTGGAATTCGGCAGCTGGATCGCGGCAGAGACGGGGAGCTGGCACCTCCCGTGTCCCCCCGTGACTGGAGGCACGGGGATGCTCCCAGTGCCCGGGGATGCTCCCGTTTGGGGTCCCTGGGGATGCTCTGGGTGCCCGGGGATGCTCCCATTTGGGTTGCCCAGGGATGCCTGAGTTTGGGATCCCCGGGAATGTTTCAGTTTGGGGTCCCTGGGGACGCTCTGGATACCTGGGGAAGCTCTGCTTTGGGGTCCCCAGGGATGCTCTGGTTTGGGGTTCCTGGGGATTCTCTGGATACCGGGCGATGTTCTGGTTTGGGGTCTCCTGGGATGTCCCATTTTAGGCCCCCTGGGGATGCTCTGGATCCCCAGGAATGTTCTGTTTTGGGGTCCCTTGGGACGCTCTGGATCTCCAGGGATGCTCCACTTCGGGGTCCCCAGGGATTCTCTGGTTTTGGGTCCCCGGGGATGCTCCTGTTCTGGATGGGGGATGGAGGAGCCCCCTCTGCACCCCCAGAGCTGGAACCCTGGGCAGGATGAGGCCCCTGAGCAGGAGCTGCTGCGCTGGATGAGGAGCAGAACAGGGAAGGGACTCACGGGGGCACATTTTGGGGGTCGGCAGCTCCACCCCCCCTGCTCAGCCCCCACCCCGTGGCTTGGTCCTGGGAGATGGGGGGGTACAGCCCCCCCGGACCCCTCGGAGGGGCTGAGAGGGGGGTCCCGGGCTGGCTCAGCTCCTCTGCTTCTCCCTTTCATCCCCTGCCTGCGCCTGATCCCTCTCAGCCTGAAACGTGGGTTTTTCTCCTATTTTGGGTCGGCTTTTCAGCTGCTTCCTTTTATTATTTTAATTTAGGCACTGTCATTATATTTTCCATTATTTCAAAGAAAAAAAAAAAAAAGAAAGAAAGAAAGAAAGGGAAGCAGGCAGCAGCTTCCCAAGGTGCTTTCCAGCTCCGAGCAGCTTTTGTTCCCGGCCAGAGCCAGGACGTGCTCGAGGGGCACAGCGTGGTGGAACCCCCTTTCCTTGGATCCTGTCTCCCTGGGGGGCTGGGGGGGGAGTTTGGGGGATGCAGGGATGCTGTTGGAGGGGGGGAATATCCAAGCAGGAGCCCCCTCCCCGCCGTGGGGGCTGATGTGCCGGCACATCATCTTCCCGCTGCCGTTGGGCTCCGGCCATCCCTAATTGCCGGGGCGGGCCGGGAGCTGCCGGCTCTGGGCTCCCGTTCCCTTCCCTGCTCTGCTATTCCCTCTTGGCCGGGGGCCGGGGGGTAACAAGAAGCAGCTGAGCCGCCCCCACCTGCCTTTCCCATCGGCGCAGGGATCCTGGTGCTCGCCGTGTCCCCTCGCCCGCATCCCGCGCTCCCGCCACCCCGGAGCTCTCCCGGC